TCACTTCCTGCTCCATATATATATTTACGCACTACATACTGCATTTCTGCCAGTGCATTCAAGGCATTTTGTAGTAAGACGAGAGGAAAATCAGCATATCCAGGTTTCAGCTCTTGCCTCATGGTTATAGAGTGTTCAGGTGGAATGGCCAGTGCAGGTTTCGGTTCTAGGAGCCAAAGGCGGTCCCAGCCAAGCCAGTAGAGGGGAATCTTGCCGTTTTTACTTCCTCCTGATGCAGCAATGTGACCTGATTCAGTCACTCCTTGTTTGCAGATGTTGGGTCAGCAGAGGTGCAGGACAGAGCTCTCTCTGCCATGGCGCCCACCTATTAGAACTTTCTATCGTGAGATATCTGTCTGGGTGCCTCCCTCTACAGTTTCTGCCAGCAAGAAAAAGCATTTCTGAATCTCATCCCCCAGTCTTCAATGTATGAAGTTTAAAGTTCTACATTTTTCCGATCTTACTGTTCCTATGTTAACGCTCATTTAAGTTTTAGTTATTTTAATCTACTTTTCATATTTGTAAATGGCTTTGAATTTTTCATTGAAAAGCCTCTAGTAAGTAAGCAATTTAAAACAATACAGCCATTGCTAATTAGACCTGTATATTTCAGGACACTCTCAATAGCTGAGGTCTTGTTAGCACACGCTCCTCTTTTCCCCTTCCTGAGTAAAAACAGATTTTGCTGACATCTTAAGTTTCTACGTGAAAGAGGCAAAGGGTGAGTGAGGCTGATTTGCGCTGGATCCTAAGCGAGGTTTGGCATGCCAGAACAGCTGTATGTCTTGGTTGGGCCACAGACAAATCTTACGTTAATACTGAAGGAACAATCTGAAAGAGGTTTGTAAACATACTGTCTGGATATATACCTCGATTTGATTTATGAGATCCAAGTTCTGGCTTGAAACTCTTGACAGATACTTGCAAGTATCAGCTAGCAAAATAACACTCAGGTACTCAGTTTGTGCATTGGAGGTATATTCAACTGTGCTATCAATATCCGCAATATGTCTTCACTTTGTTGCCTGACTGGAACTATTAACGCGAGCCTATGGAATAGTAAATATCAAAGCTTAATGGCAGGATCCAGCCCTGCAGTTATTTTTAGATTAAATCTGCAAAGCAGCTGGCTTTTGAAATCAAGAAAACAAACTAGTGGTTAATGTAAATATCAAGATTCCCTGGTCTTGGTGTTTAAAGGCAACCGCCTAAGTTGGAGGGAGATCTGGGAAACTTTAAAAAAAAATTGCCAGGAGCCTAAGAGAAATCGGGCTAGTATAAATTCAACAGAATCTAGTGATGAGGTTCTTTAGGAAAATGTCTTTGAATGTTTCCCGAAAAAACCAAAACTGGCATGTCAGGGATATGGTTCAGCGTGGCCCACTATTTTTCTGTCTTCAGGGAGCATTTTTATAGGGGACTCACATGAACATGCAAGTGCCACATGCCCAAAGTAGTATATTCTGCAGCAGTGCTACCAATTGATTCTGGTGAGTGTATAAGCTGGCTGAAATGCCTGTGATTACTTAGCGGTGATAATTTAATGCGTATTATGTTGTGCTCATTTCCTTTCATTAGGTTGACTTGTAGGTTCTCTGAATTTGCTCCCTTCAGATGGGATTCATTGTTACAGGACACTCTTCTCACTCTGCATCCATCAGAGTTACAGGCCTCTATCAATCTGCACACTGTCTGTCTTGTGCTTGGTCTGGGTCACTGGTCCGGGAGGCGGCTTTCTTGGCTCCTGGCTGCCCAGACCTTGCTGCTAGTGTAGAAGAGGGGAGTGAGAGCTGAAACCATGGTTGATGCTTTTGTTCAGCACTGTTTGTGAATAAAGTCTTGCCTTCCAGCTTTTTAATTGCCCTTTAAAATATTAGTACAGTGCCTCATGTCTAATAACTGGTAAAAGGCTTAATCTGTTTCTTGTCTGCAGTGGCTGTAAATGTGGCCGTGTGCTTCTGTTAATTGTTTAAAAGCAAAGGTTAAATAACTTAATTTTGTGCTATTGACTTTTGTAATGTAATCTTCTTGGATCATGTTCTATAAACTTCTCCATTGCTGCTAGGCACTTGGCATTTCAGATTATTTGCTTGTGGCTTAGGTAAATTGGGGAAAATTGTTCTGTGGAGGACTAGCTTCATGCACAGTTGCACGACAGTGATGGGGAAATAAGCTTCTATGGTTTATGCTTCATTACATGTGCTAAGCACTTTAGCTGAACCCTCTGTCTTGTTGTACTGGTAACATCTTCAACGATGTTATCACTATTGACAGTAAAGAATAATTGACACATGGACTGCCCAGGCCATAACCTCTGCCCTGTGGCTTATCTGCTGGTAATTCCCAACACACTCCTGATACTGATACTGAACTTCAAAGAAAATCTTCTTTAAAAATACAACCCTTGAGCCTTTCAGAGGTGCCAACAGAGGTGCTTTCTGCTTGCCGTATGACATCAGTGCACAGGGATAGCTAGACTGAAAACGCCAGTAGCACATGTTGCTTCCTGTACAACATGCTTAGATGTATTGGGGAAAGGGTTGTAGAAGCTTAAAAACACCAGGCAGCGGACATGGCTGATGGAGCTTCCTGGCCTACAGGATTAACTGATATGTAGCTTTACATCAAATCCAAGAAATTAAAGGCATGCTTTACTGCAGGCTTGGTTTGAAAGCCGCAAGGCTTCCAGGGTTCTTCTGGCTTTGGTTTTAGGGTCTGAAGATGCAAACAGAACTCCCTTCACGGCACCATTTGCTGTTTCTGAGCATTTGTGTGGACTACTTAATTAGTGTATGCTTGGCTACTTATTTAATTTTTATTCAAATGTGTACCCCGCCCTCCCAGCCCACGGCCGGCTTACATAAAATCCACAGAAACAAATAATACAATAAAACATTTAAAACAGTATTTAAAAGATTACAATTCCATAATAAGTGCTAGTTTTGCTATTATAAAGTTTGTGATGGCTACCATCGACTCTCTTCCCATGGCTGGCACAGATCTTCTATAGGTGTCTTTCAGGTGTCCCTCCGACGGCTGGCACAGTTGTTAGTATAGGTTAGAACCGTATGCATTGTGGAATCATATCTGGAACCATATACATAGAAGAAGAGGAGGAGGAGATTGGATTTATAACCCTTGCTCTTCAATACCCAAAGGAGTCTCAGAGCGGCTTACAAACTCCTTCCCCTCCCCACAACAGACACCCTGTCAGGTAGGTGGGGTTGAGAGAGCTCTGACAGAAACTGCTCTTTTTCAAGGACAGCTCTTATCAGAACTATGGCTTGCCCAAGGTCACCCAGCAGGGGCAAGTGGAGGAGTGGGGAATCAAACCCGGTTCTCCCAGATTAGAGTCTGCGCACTTGACCACTACACCAAACTGGCTCTCAGCTGGCGGGGGGGGGGGGGGGGGGGGAGCTGTCCAAAGACTTAGCTCAGGAGGAGGCCATAACAGCATATTGCTGTGTTTTAGCCTGACATACCTGCCTCTTTGAGAAACTCTAGTCTCTGGCAGTCTTCCATCTTGCCAGCCCACCACGGGGAGCAGGGTCTTGCGTCCCTGCAATCTCCATTTGGGGTAAAGAGCCTAAAAATAAATGCTGACTTCTTCAGGCAGTGGGATTGGAATAAACTGAGGTGCCCAGAGGGTATCACGGCTTGCTGGGAAACTGGCACCATTGTTAGAATGTGTTGGGATAGCGCTGTGCTCAAAATGGCAATTCTTGCGTCTGCATCCCAGCACGTATCCTGCAAGCATAAAATACATCGTGTGCTGGCACAGCCTGTCCCGAGTGCTTGTTTTATGGATCAGCAGATTTTCAGGATTGATCCACGATTGTGACAAGCAGCGGCTTTCTGGTTACCTGACTATTAGTCTCCCCTGTTTGAGTTCTGATTCCTCCCCGTTTGAGTTCTGATTCAGTACTCTGTTGCCCGGGCTATTCTAATTTCCATGGCACTTTGCTCTTACCGTACTCTGAGAGCCGAGATATTTTTAGATTTGGCCCTTTATGAACTGTAATTACCACACCGGTGGTAGCGATTCTAAATCTGCCTCCTCTGGTGTACGAAAAACTTGAGTTAAATTCACAGGTGAGCTGTATAAGTTCAGAGGCTGATGGGAGGGGTTCCTTGGTAGTCCTGTTTCGACAGTATGGGTAATAACAATAAGTACCGATACTTGAGTGGTAAATTCATCTCAATATGACTGAGCAGATGGTATCTGTAATACATGGTTTTTTAAGGCTTTTCAGTGTTGCTGAAACCTAGCAAATGTGGCAGAGTAATGTTGTAGTTCTGTGGTCTTCAACCTGTGAGTCAGAAGCCTCAGGCGGGTCAAAGGGCCCTACTTGCTTGGCTGTGAGCCGTTATATAGCAGCCCCCCCTCCACCTTTTGAAAGGATCTGCTGCTAGGGCATATGTATAGAGAGCAAAAGTGCTATGCATCCTGCATCTCTCTTTGTATGCACGCAGAGAGGAACAGCCATCGGTTGGGGCAAGGTCATATGGTATAGAGAATCATTCCACGGGTCTGATCTTTGGCTTGTTCTTTACTGTGGTATACGATGTTGTGTTTGGCTTATGTTTCCTGTCCCTAGTTCTTCTTGTCTCCTGTCAACACCATAGACTTGGCACAGAGGAAGTCATAACTCTGGCTTCCCTTCTTCTGGTCATGTGACTTCATTCACTTTTTTGCACCTCAGTGTTTAGTGCGGCCTGGGTTTGGATAAAGCTAAAGACCGACTAGTGTACGTGTCAATAACCCATCTTTGTAACTGAGATATTTGCTGGTAAGGTATATTACAGATAGATGGGATTCTAGTGCTAAAAAGCTTCCTGTTTTAAGGTGTTCTAAGTCACCTGCCATGCCCTTCCATCATTTCTAAATTCAAATGTCGGGCATGCATAACCATAAATATTCTGTTATATATGTGTTATGGTTTTGAAACTCAGCATTTTGGTCATTGGTTTTTAAATAGATGCTTTTTTTCTTTTCACAGTGAGAGGATCGAAACCAGGCAAAAATGTCCAACTTCAAGAGAATGAAATAAGGGGATTGTGCTTGAAATCTCGAGAGATTTTCCTGAGTCAGCCCATTCTTTTAGAACTCGAAGCACCCCTTAAAATATGTGGTAAGCGTTGAGCCTGGCTGCCTACAACTTTGTTTTTCAGTGAATTGATAATGACTTGGGCACAACTTCTTGGGTGGTGGCTTCAGCTGACGCATCTCCCCCATGTAGACTGTCCAAACACCCTGCCAGTCTGCTTTGTGGAAGTCCTTGCGTGAGGACGAAGCTGGATCTACAATATGATGTAGAAAGGAGGTGTTGGAAGTAAGAGGGCTTCCCAGCAAGGGAGACGCCTAGACTCAGGGCAGTCTTAATTATGACTTTGGGGTTTGGCATGGTAGAAAGCAGAGCAAATGGAGGCGAAAAATAACCTGATAGGCGGCAGGTTTCCAAACAACAGATTGAAAGGATGGTGTTTGTGGAACAGTGACATGGGTCGTATGGTTGCCCTAATACAGTGATGCTCTGTATTCTTGGTGCTTGGGGGGGGGGGGCAACAGCGGGAGGGCTTCTGGTGTCCTGGCCCTGCTGCTGGACCTCCTGATGGCACCTGGTATTTTTGGCCACTGTGTGACCCAGAGTGTTGGACTGGATGGGCCATTGGCCTGATCCAACATTGGCTTCCCTTATGTTCTTATAAGAGGGAATTGGATGAACATATGGAGCAGAGGACCATCAGTGGCTATTAGCCGCAAGGTATAGAGAGCAACTCTCAGTCTGGGGCAAGAGATGCTCTGTCTTCTTGGTGCTTGGGGGGGGGGGGCAAGAGTGGGAGGGCTTCTAGTGTCCTGGCCCCACTGCTGGACCTCCTGATGGCGCCTGGTATTTTTTGGCCACTGTGTGACACAGAGTGTGGGACAAGATGGGCCATTGGCCTGATCCACCATTAACTTCTCTTATGTTCTTAATCTGAGTTCTCCAACAGTGGTGGTCACCATTGCCTTTGTTCCACCACAAGATATTTTACTGTCCTAAATTCACCATTCTGAAACTGGTAAAATGAGAGGCAGCGCCCTTTTCGCAAAAGAAGGTGGTGTCCAGTACAAAAGATTGAAGTCGCTTCTGGGAAGGAACAGGCGGGTAATACGCCTGACCCAGAACTGTGAGTGAAATCTCCGCTTGAAGCCAACTTTGCTTTTAGGATTTGATTTGTTGCCTTACTGGCTTGACAGGCCGCAAATAATAATCCCGATGTCTTGTGTCCTGGAGAAGTCTCTGGCACAGTTTGCCAGAAAAGGTGTCTTGCAAAAAGATCCACTAAACAAAATGAAAAATGCTTATAGGAGATTTGCTTACATTAATTTTCTGAAAACTGCTGTTTCTTTTATTTTACAAATCAAGTATACAAGAACCTGTATCTTGCTTAAATGAGGGAGACACATAAATACCTTTCCTTCTCCCCCCCCCCCCCCAGGTGACATCCACGGACAATACTATGACTTACTTCGACTCTTTGAATATGGAGGCTTCCCACCAGAAAGCAACTATCTCTTCCTCGGTGACTATGTCGATCGAGGGAAGCAGTCTTTAGAAACCATTTGCCTCTTACTGGCTTACAAGATAAAATATCCAGAAAATTTTTTCCTCCTTAGAGGGAACCATGAATGTGCCAGCATTAATAGAATTTATGGATTCTACGATGAATGTGAGTACTTCTGGGGTGTTGTGGGGCCCGGGAAAGGTTGATTAATTACAAACTGTGCGCTCAGCTTGCTACAGAACAATTTTCAGGCCTCCAGCTTTGGAATTAACGAAGTATTAAATGGTCATTCTGAATCCCATATCTGAAGAGTTTCTTAGCTGGTTTTGGGAGGTGAAGGTAGCATCCCTGTTCTTCCCACAGACTCTTTGGTGCATTCAGTGGCTTAATCCCTTCAGTCCCCATCTAGTTGCTTCTCCAACAGGCTCTGCTGATGTATCGACCTCCTATTTCTAAAGGGTTCCGTTTCTGTTTTGCAAATGCAAAGCTGAGCTCTTCCTTCCTTCCTTTGCGTGGCAGTTGCACATGACGAGATGTGTCATGGCTTGGGGCAGTGTGCGATCTCTCTACTTCCTGTTGCTTCACTTGTCTGAATTGGCTGCTGATCAGTTCCTGGCCGTGTGTCATTAGGAGACACAAATCTCTGACTTCAAAATTTATTTGTTTCAGTTTTTGGTAAGAGTCTAAGCCAAGTATTCTGTGTTTGCTGTGACAGAAGGCTGGTGCTGCTTGCTTATAGTTCATGAAAAGCACAGTTAAGTCTACTGGCTTAAAAACTCACTCGTCACATACTGTCGGCTAATTTCAGGTTTCATATTTGGGTCAGGGGATTCACTGTTTTCCACAGCATTAAGAGTTCCAATCCAGCATTTTACTTTCTGCAGATATTTTTAGGACTGATCTCTAGGAACACTGGCGTGGGGGGAAATTCTGGGGGATTAGCTATGTTAAGTCTTTAAAGTACTCCCAAGACCCCTGCTTAGGTTTGCTGCAACCTAATAAGTTTTTATTTAGGAGAGCTTTCATCAGATGCGTATGTTGGGTCCTCATGAGTCAGACACACGTATGAGGTTATGAAGAGAAGTTGTTAACAGCTGGGTCCAAAGGGCTATGAGTTGCGAGGAGTACAAGGTGGGATATAATGTGGTTTAAAACTCAAATGTACTGAAGAAAAGTGCAGAGACCATTCAGAACAGCAGTAATTGGTGACGACACAATTTCTCTACACCTTTGCTAACCCCCTGAAAAATGCTTTTGTACCGGATTGCATTGCCTGTTGTGGCAGTATCAAGCGGCTTCCGGAGGTCTCAGGCCAGTGAAATTGCTAGCAAAGACCTTCCTAAGTGGAATCCAGCACAAGCCTTAATGTGGAGTACGTGATTAAACCGCCAGCAAGCTACAGTCCTGACCTGGGTAGCCTGTTCTCATCAGATCACGGGAGCTAAGCGGGGTCAGCCCTCGTTAGTACTTGGATGGGAGACCAGCAGGGAAGTCCAGGGCCGCAGGCGATGGCCAACCACCCCCTGAACATCTCACACCTTGAAACCCCATGGAGGCCACTGTAAGTTGGCTGCAAATAGACGGGACTTTACACACCCAAGCTGCAGCACCTTCCTTTTTGCAGCTATACTGTATAGAGATGGCTGTAGTTGATTTTGTGTGTCATTTCTGAATGGCTCTTATGACTCTTATGGGATTCTGTTTAGTTTCCTAAAGAAGTACGGTAACTGATATCCTGCAAAAACAAAACAAAAACCTCAGTAAGAGGCTGTGCAGCATTTGACTTCTCTTGTGTTGTTGTCTCACCCTCCCATACTTGGTTAAGTTTGTGGTGGAGTCAACTTGAATTTGTTGGTGGCTGCTCATGCTTTCTTACACATGAATGGCTTGCTAAATTGGGAAGGAGCGCTGCGAGGAACGTAAGAGCCCTCCTGGCCTCTTTGGCATTGCTTCAAAAAGTGGCCAGCAAAATGCCCGCAACAGCCCTCTCATTGGTCCCAGCACATGGTATTTAGAGGTGTACTGCCTCTGAATATGGAGGTTCCATTTAGCTGTCTTGGCTGGTAACCATTGGAAGACATGTCCTTTGTGATTTAAAAAACAACAACAACAACTGTTTAAGCTAGTGGCTACCTTGTGGCAGCGAATTGTGTGAATTTGTGCTACTTTTTAATCTGTTCTGAATCTCTGGCTAATGTCATTGGTATAGCACGACTTGCGGCATTATATGAGGGAGACAGTTTTCCCCTCTGAGGCTGTGGCTGCCCTCTGGAAAAAGTTATCAATTTCTGGATTGAGATAATAAGAAGCTGTGCTCTGTATATAATCTAATTGTTGTGGTCTGTGTGGACTAAGAAGGGGGTTGCTCGGCCAAAGGGGAATTCCCCGTTAGCTTCCAAGTTCCCTCCCCAGATGGGACTGTGTGCCGCATCTCTAGAGAGGAGGTGGACCATGAGGCACCTGGTCTCATTCCGTTTGGGGTTCAAGCTAGTAGGCCACGTTTGTTTGTTTGTTTGTTTTTCACATTTGTATCCCGCCCTCCGGGCGGCTAACAGGGGCAGGGTAATTAACCGTAATTCATCTCCCCCTCTAAGGTAATGCCTAAGCTACACCTAGGAGCAAGGTATGTTTCTGTTTCTTCCTTCCCGCCCTGAGATTACTTGTTCCCGTTTTCCTGTGCTGATGTTTAACTCACATTGCGACATGTCTTCCTAGGTAAAAGAAGATATAATATAAAGCTGTGGAAAACCTTTACTGACTGCTTTAACTGCCTGCCGATTGCAGCCATTGTGGATGAGAAAATCTTTTGCTGTCATGGAGGTAAGTGGGTTGTACAGTCCTGAAGCGAAAACAGCTTATGCCTTCGCACAAACACTGCCTTCTCCAGCGGTTTCTCCACGCCGCAGTCTGCTTGGAGGCTCACAAGAACAGTGGGAGGAAGCTGGGAGTCAACGTGTCTAATCCAGAGCTATCACTTCCCTCCTTCCTTTCCCCCCTCCCCCCTTGGGGTGATGAATGGAGTGGGAGTTCTGGCCACGGATTTCCCACCTCAGACTGCTTCTGCGCAGCTGCGGTAGCAGTGCTTCACAAAGGGTGCATTAATTGGGGCCCAGGCTTCCCTCCCGAAGGCCTGGCACGGGCTCTTCCTTGCAGTGGCTAGAAGTAGCGTTGTTTCCTCGCATGACCGGAGATGCTGCCATATACAGATTCCCTGCACATGGAAAGCTAGCATGGCAGGAGGAAGGGTAGACTGGAACTCCCTTCCCTGATGTGTTAGTTGTCAATTAGCAGGGAAGCATTTCTCTATAGCGCAGTATTCATTTCCTTAGGTCACCACCTACAGTACGGCCTGGTACAGGCCAGAGACAAATTTACCCTTTGGTGAGACCGAGAGCCTCTGTTGATAGTATTTAATTTGGTAGCTCTCTAAATCCCCACGGAAATCAGATGGTGGAAACTGGTAATCTGTGTCTTGCTTGTAATAATTACAGGTTATCTGGGCGGCTCCCAGTACAGCTTGGTAAATACCTACGTACTTGGGTTCTAGCAACCTAGCATCTCCTGACCCATTTTGAATTTTAATATTTGGTCTTGCCATTCCTAGACTATAATCTACGCAACTGTAATGTTCTGATTTGGGCACAACATCCAGCTTTATGTGCCGGAGGCGCTGAGTGGGAGGGTGCAGTGGAGGAAAACAAAGTAGTATTGCCTTACAGAGGGTAAAGGTCACGACTCTCTAATCTGAGCCCAGATAGATGTCGTACTTCTGAGCATCTAGACCAGGAATGGCCGAATCTGCTTAACGTAAGAGCCACAGAATAAACGCCAGATGTTTGAGAGCCACATGCCATGAACAAATATTACACGTTTTTATTGAAAAATATGCAGATTTGCTTTTTATTAACATTTAATGAGACTGCCAAAATAATAACAAAAGGGGTAAAAATAGATATTGATAATTATATTTATTTGTCCAATGATATTGGGGGGGGGGCTTTGAGAACGCATTTAAAGCTAAAGTGGCTTTCTTTCTCTGCTCCCCCCTGCCCCAAGCCTACCCAGGGAAGGGAACCACTGGCTGGGGAAAGGAAGACCGATCGGGGAGAGTAGGGAGGCCTGCCTCCCCTTCGCTTGCCCAGCCGCCCTGCCGGGAGCCGCACAATATGTGTGAAAGAGCCACATGTGGCTCCCGAGCCACAGTTTGGCCACCCCTGATCTAGACCTTAAGAACATAAGAGAAGCCAAATGTTGGGTCAGGCCAATGGCCCATCCAGTCCAACACTCTGTGTCACACAGTGGCCAATAATACCAGGGGCCATCAGGAGGTCCAGCAGTGGGGCCAGGACACCAGAAGCCCTCCCACTGTTGCCCCTTCCCCGGGGCACCAAGAATACAGAGCATCCCTTGCCCCAGACCGAGAGTTCCCATCTATACCTTGTGGCTCATAGCCACTGATGTATCTCAGCTCCTTATGTTTATCTAATTCCCTCTTATAAGAAAATAAGAGAAGCCAGTGTTGGATCAGGCCAGTGGCCCATCCAGTCCGTGTCACACAGTGGCCAATAATACCAGGTGCCTTCAGGAGGTCCAGCAGTGGGGCCAGGACACCAGAAGCCCTCCCACTGTTGCCCCTTCCCCGGGGCACCAAGAATACAGAGCATCCCTTGCCCCAGACTGAGAGTTCCTATCTATACCTTGTGGCTAAGAGCCACTGATGGACCTCTGCTCCATATTGAGAACATAAGGGAACCTAGTGTTGGATCAGGCCAATGGCCCACCCAATCCAACCCTCTGTGTGTCACACAGGGGCCAAAACCACCAGGGGCTATCAGGAGGTCCAGCAGCGGGTCCTGGATGGTGACTGAGCAGCTCTGATTAAAAGCTTGCTCTGGAGATGCAGGACAAAAAGGGTTAATGTGAGCCTCGGTGACCTTCTGAAGCTCCCAGCCCTCAGAGCTACTGAGAAAGGGTCAGTAGAAAAAGGGCAAGAGTCCAGGAGCACCTTAAAGACTAAACAGTTTGTGGCAAGGTAGGTGTCAAGGTTTCTCTCCCTCACCCCAGTCCAGGGATGGGGAGAGAAACCAAGCATTCAGGAACAATTAAACAAACGCCTGGAGAATGTCTGTACACTCTCCAGGCTTTATCGGTAGTCTGCCACCAGGATCTCTCTTTAACCTTTAACCAGTCCCGCGCAAAGCTCAGAAGCAGAGATCCCAAACTCCTCCTTGCTTTCTAGGACTGACCCACTTTACAGGGCTGCAAACAATTAAGTACCACAGTGGTAGCCTCCTTAGGCACCAAGGATACAGAGCATCCCTTGCCCCAGCCTGAGAGTTCCTATCTCTACTTTGTGGCTCATAGCCACTGATGGACCTCTGCTCCGTATTAAGAACGTAAGAGAGGCCAGTGTTGGATCAGGCCAGTGGCCCCTCCAGTCCAACACTCTGTGTCACACAGTGGCCAAAAATACCAGGGGCCCTCAGGAGGTCCAGCAGCGGGTCCTGGATGGTGACTGAGCAGCTCTGATGAAAAGCTTGCTCTGGAGATGGGAGGACAAAAGGGGTTAATGTGAGCCTCGGCGGCCTTCTGAAGCTCCCAGCCCTCAGAGCTACTGAGAAAGGGTCAGTAGAAAAAGGGCAGGAATCCAGGAGGACCTTAAAGACCAAACAATTTGCGGCAAGGTAGGAGCTTTCCTGAGTCACTGCTCACTTCTTCAGATGAGGAAAGGGTCAAAACGGGTAAGGACTTCCCTGTGCTGGGCTCAGCTTTGCAGGATGGATGAATCCTGTACCCATCTGAAGCCGTGGAGGGAGCTAGCCCACAAGCTTCTGCTTACCCAGGCATCACTGTGCTGATCTCATATGGCACGTCAGTTGTCTGACACCCACTTCTCAAAATTCTACAAAGGCTGCTCCCACCTAGTTGTAAGAAGAGCCCCGGTGGAGCAGACAAAGGGGTGAATTAGTCGAGGATCCTGTGTCCAGTGGTGGGTGGAGCAGACAAAGGGGTGAATTAGTCGAGGATCCTGTGTCCAGTGGTGGGTGGAGCAGACAAAGGGGTGAATTAGTCGAGGATCCTGTGTCCAGTGGTGGGTGGAGCAGACAAAGGGGTGAATTAGTCGAGGATCCTGTGTCCAGCGGTGGGCCTCTGTAAGCTGCTTGTTTGTATCTCTACTGTGGCATTACTGCCTCCGGACATGGAAGTCTGATATGGCTGACAGGTGTTGATAGATCTGCCCTTCACGGGTGAATAACCCTTTTCAAAGCCAGCTACACTAGTGGCCATTGCCATGACGTGTAGCAGTGTGTGTGTGATACGTTCCTTGCACTCTGTGTACGGTAAGAAATGTCCTACCTGGAAACTGCTCCTGAACACCTTACTCGGGTGACCCTGGGTTCTGGTAGTGGGGTGAGCACGGCCTCTCCCTCCATGCCAGGCATAACCCGCTGTCATGTCCCTTTCCACTTTTTGCTGAACTGCAAGTCCTGAACTCAGACTCCTTAATTTCTCCTAGGGAAGGTGCTCCAACCACATTATTTGTCTAGTATATTAGATCAGCTTAGATTTTGCTTCTGTGATCTGCTCTAGAGTTTATTTTCCTCATTTGGGCTGCCGAACGTTGAACTGCAGACCGGAAGGTCGGTAGTTCAGCCGTTCGAGACCCGAGTGCCGCATGATGGAAGGAACTCCCGTCTCTGGTCCCAGCTTCTGCCAGCCTAGCAGTTCGAAAACAAGAAATTGCAAGTAGATAAATAGGTACCGGTTCGGTGGGAAGGTAACAGCGTTCTGTGCGCCTCTGCCACATGACCATGGAAATGTCTTTGGACAGCGCTGGCTCTTTGGCTTGGAATCGGAGATGAGCACCACATCCCTAGAGTCGGATTCGACTGGCTTTCGAGCAAGGGAAACCTTTACCTACCTTTACTTACTGTGGAAAGGGCCGTGGTGCCTCAGAGGTTAAGATGCTGAGCTACAGACAGGAAGGTCTGTAGTTTGGCAGTTCGAGACCTGAGTGCCGCGTGACGGAGTGAGCTCCCATCTCTGGCCCCAGCTCCTGCCAACTCAGCAGTTCGAAAGCAAGAAATTGCAAGTAGATGAATAGGTACTGCTTCGGTGGGTAGGTAACAGCATTCCATGTGCCTCGGCATCTAGTCATGCTGGCCACATGACCACAGAGAAGTCTTGGGACAGTGCTGGCCCTTCGGCTTGGAAACGGAGATGAGCACTGCCCCCTAGAGTCGGATTTGACTAGCTTTCAAGCAAGGGAGACCTTTGCCTTTTCCCTTACTGTGGAAAGTCTTGCATTTTCGATTTGCTTGGATTCTGCTCACCAGCCACACCAGCATCCTCTCGAGCTGGCTCGGATCACTGCTGATCAGTGGCACGTGTTTTCTGATCTTCCCTAATTGGGGTTTTTATTTAATCTCAAGGTTTCCCGACAAAGTTTGACCCTGCCTGCCCCTCTCAGCTTGGGTTTTAGGCAACCTCATTTTAAGTGATCTCACTTTTGAGAGACTTCCTCTGTGGAAATTAAATGTGATCATTTTGGACTTCCTGGACAGCTTTCCACTTACGTACACGTTGACTTTCATAGTCATGAGCTCCTTACTCCAGGCAGAGCCAGTTTGTCAGTGTTTGCATCTCCATCCTGTCAGGCCTTGAGCTCCACTCAACATTCGATCACAGACTGCCTCCCTCCTGGTTAGCGCTGTGATAAATTTGCTTGCCATGGATGTTCTAGGCCAGGGGTGTCGAATTCATTTGTTATGAGGGCCGGATCTGGCATAAATGAGACCTCGTTAGGCCAGGCCAGGTGTGTCATAAAAGGTAATGCCAGGGAGATATAAACTTTATAAAGGACACAAACACAAAGGGTTGTGGTTTTTTTACTTAAAATAAAAGCATGCTTAAAACATTAGCTCTGTAAGCTGCAAACCTACTTTTGATTTATCGACATTCACCACAGAAATCTCATGCTCAAGAGTTCTGAGTCTCGGACCCAGGTTAAAACATGAAATGGCCGAGCGGTTAAGAGAGTCTGGTGAAGCAAGCTGTGATGCAGCAGCAGCAGCAGAACTGGAAGCAGGAGATGGCCAGTTCCACTGCAGGCCTGATGGAAGCCTTCCAGGGGCCTGATCTGGCCCCCGGGCCGCATGTTTGACACCCCTGGTCTGGGCAAATGGCTACTTACAAGCCTGAGCTAAATGTGCCAGTTTACTGAAGCATCCTGCTGACTCCGGAGAACCTTGTATCTCCGTGCTGTGCTGTCTCAAGTGGAAGAGCACAGAGGACCCTGCCGACGAGTGGCAGGTGCTGCCTTGCAAAAGAGGCACGTGTTGACTCTTGTGTCCGGGCTTGTGCCAGCGTCCGTAGGTGCAGGGGCTGCAGAGGTCCATGAATAACAGCATGCAGCGAGGGAAGCCAGTTTTGTTGGGGCTGTGCACATCCTGCTGAGGCTCAGAATTTGGTGGCACGACAGTCTGATCTCCCTCAGTTGGGATAGCTGATTCTTCCTTCCTAAAGGAAGCGTAAACGAGGCTGCTAGTCAGCACGAACCCTTCCGAGTTTCCACGCTGCTGCAAAATACCATGCTGTTTGTTGCCAACAAAATGCCAACTGGGTCCCTTTTAACCCCCCCCCCCCAGGCTTATCACCAGATCTCCAATCAATGGAGCAGATTCGACGAATTATGCGCCCCACCGATGTGCCGGACCAGGGCCTCCTTTGCGATCTGCTGTGGTCTGACCCCGACAAGGATGTCTTGGGATGGGGAGAAAACGACCGAGGCGTCTCTTTCACATTTGGTGCCGAAGTGGTTGCAAAATTCCTTCACAAACATGATCTGGATCTCATATGTAGAGCTCACCAGGTAGGCAACGTCTGGAGGACTGGCCCTGTAGAGGGTGTTCCCAGAGTGGAATCCCCGTAGTTCGCTTGGGTTGGAACACCTGGTTGGCTTTAATCACTTCAGCATATGTCCTTGTGCCCTTGATACCGTGGATTGTGAATGAATTGGCCGTTGGCAGCTAGAAGAGGTGGGTGGCTGGCTGGCATAAGGGTGGGGCCAGGAGGCCTGGGTTCCAAGGCTTGCTCGGCCACAGACCTTGCTGTGTGGTCCAGAAAGCGGTTGTCAGGGCTTTGCTCTAGTAGTGTGTTCACTGCCTCATGTGCGTGTCACTCCTATAAGCTGCCTGAAGCTAGGAGCTGGTTTGGTGAAAGCCATACGATAAGTATTACTGGTGAGCTTTGAACCATAGTCCTGAACAGTGTTCCCTCTAAGCTGAGTTAGTGTGAGCCAGCTCACAGAGTTTTAGCCTCCAGCTTACAGAGTTTTGTCTCAGCTCAGGAAGGAGGGCTCCAGAGCAAACTAATTTATGCCATAGCCAGATCACCTACTCACAGCTTTAATGCCAGGAGCTCACAAAGTAGAATTTTTGCTCACAAGACTCCACAGCTTAGAGGGAGCATTGGTCCTGACACGGTGGCATTTCTTCTGAACCCAGCCGGGGCCGAAACTGAAGGAGGCTTGTAAAGCCGAGATGATGGCCACTGGCCGTCGCTTCCTGTTCTCTTCATTTTGTCCCCCCCCCCAAAGAAAACCCTAACCAAACTCTTTTTGCTTTAAAGGTGGTTGAAGATGGGTACGAGTTCTTTGCAAAAAGGCAACTGGTGACTCTGTTTTCTGCCCCCAATTACTGTGGGGAGTTTGACAATGCAGGCGCCATGATGAGTGTGGACGAGACTCTGATGTGCTCCTTTCAGGTACGGGATGGCTGGGGTGGGGGCGGGGGCACCTCGCTGCTTGCTGCTCTTCAGGGCCGGCTGCCGGTTGGCTCAGCTCTTCGGAAACGTTTTATTTACTTCACTTAACACCTCTCGTTTCTGCTCAATGGGGGGCCCCAAAGCCGCTTACCTCACTCTCCTCCCCTCCACTTTTATCCTGAGTGTGCATGACTCTTCCAAGGTCACCCAGCCCTCTTTGCCACGGAGTAGAGCAGTTTTAATCTCCTCACCTTGAATTGCCTCAAGAGAGGAGACATCAAATGTCACCAGCTGTGGGAAGGAAGCTGGAAAGATCCATCAAGATTCGGGGCAGTGTTCCCTCCAAGCTGAGTTAGTGTGAGCTAGGTCACAGGTTTTTAGCCTCCGGCTCACACATTTTTGTCTTCGCTCAGGGCGGACGGCTCCAGAGCAGACTAATTAATGCAGCAGCCCAATCGCTCACTCACAACTTTATTGCCAGTAGCTCACAGAGTAGATTTTTTGCTCACAAGACTCCGCAGCTTAGAGGGAGCGTTGATTCAGGGTGCTGCTGTTGATCTTTTGAAGCCCTGAAAGGGGTGGGTGCAGAATATGTCTCAGGTCAGGGTATGCATTAAGGACCATCTGGTGGGGTCCCGCTCCTGCTGTCTCTCCACTGCTGCGAGGTTGACTTCCTTTACAGGTGGAGCCTTTGTCACCAAGGGCACCTTGATTGTGGCGTGCTCTTCCCAAGGACACCTGTGTAGCTCCTTCCCTGTTAGCCTTTCAGAAGCCAGATAAGACCTTCCTATTCTCTTACTCCTTTGGGATAGTTCTGATTCCCCCCCCCCACTGCTTTGATCTTCTAAAAACCTGTCTTCGGTTTTGGGCGTTCAGTTGTGGGCCGCTGCGTTGGCATCCAGGTGATGCCTGACTTAAATGCAGCCTGGAGCGGACACCCCGGGCTCAGATACTGGCTTGCACGTGGGACTCTCTCTTTAGCACCGTTCAAAGGGTCAAGCGGACGTCAAGACAAATATTATCAAAAATATATTTTTATTTATGGAGTACGCAGTAGGCAAGACAAATATTATCAAAAATATATTTTTATTTATGGAGTACGCAGTAGTAAAGATTAAAAGATTAAAAGATTAAAAACAAGTGACCTGAAGACCAGACTTCAGAGGACATCAACAAAGCCAAATACAACCATTACATAAATGTACCGGAGACTTTATATATATAAAAAAAACTATGGCTGATGAAATTCCCAAAACAGTGACTTCTTTACCAACGCAGAGACAACAAAAAATCAATGTATGGAATTGCAAGCGACTACAAAGAGGGAATATAGACAGCTATTCTTAGAAGAGAATTTTTACGCTTATGAAGGGAATAGATACAGAGTTAAGACTTTAAAACTTAGGAGGAGGAATCAGAAAATCAAGAAAAAGTTGATAACTACAAAAATCCTGGGGGAAACACGAGGGAGCTCCCTCTATTTTAGGTTTATCCAGGGGTCATTTCCTCCAGGAGCGCACAGGAGTGGAGCTCCGGCAGTAAAGAGCCCAGGGGGCGGGCACATGCAACTAGCCCCACCCCCTGCTCCCAGCAGCCCTCAGTCAGAGCAAGAAGCAGCCAGGTAAGCTGCAGAGCTCCCCCCCAGTCCAAAACAGTCCAGTGGCACCTTTAAGACCATGTTTTATTCAGGTACAAGCTCTCCTCTGCGAGGACAGAATTCTGCAGGTTCCCCCTAGCAATCCAAAACAGTCCAGTGGAGCCTGAGTGGTGGGTGTTGCCTTCTGACACACTTCCAATGATGTCAGGAGTCATGGCATATGCAAATAAGTTATGCTAATGAGCTCCTGCACTTCTTTTTCTACAAAATGACCTCTGGGTTTATCTCATTTACATATTGAGGGAGCCCCAGATATTCTCGAGGGAGTAAAACCCTAATATACTTGTACTTAGAATAGAGTGTCATACACTGTATAATATAATTCAAAACTTAGTAGCATACTTAGGGAAACTTTGTATTAGTGGAAACTAAGAAACTGTATATTATATTTGCAAGCTATATAAACAATTTATGGTGGGGAAACGAGATGGATTTGACGACTGTATGAGGTGCTGTAGTGGAGAGGAGATTGATGTACACCGCTGTACATGTTTGTTTTTGGAACAATAAAAATGTGATTAAAAACAAACAAACATGAGTTTGAAATAAGCTGTAGTCATTTTACATACATAGTTGATTATTTCACATATATAGTTGATGAATATGTCAAATGACCAATAGGACCTTACACGTTTCGGCCTGTAGCACTATATTGTAAGTCTTGCTGTCACGCACATCCAGAGACTTAGGAAATTTATGACCAGATTATTATATCATTGAAGATTTTGTTATACGTGTGCAGTTACCATGAGAAGTTACCCATGGCCTATTCCATAAACTTTCAGCATATGAGAAAGCAACACCTGCCTTCAATTTATATATATATTTGCTCCTGGATGTGTTTTTTATCATGGTATTATTGACCACCAAGGAAAGGCCCTGGAGGCCAAAATGCATATGGTCCTATTGGTCAGTTGATAGAGTCATCAGCTATGTATGCGAAATCATCGACTCTGTGTGTAAAATGACTGAAGCTCATTTCAAGCTCATGTTGATGTCCTTTGAAGTCATATCTTTAGACTGCTTGTTTTTAATCTTTGCTACTGTGTACACCATAAATGGGGGCCATGGTGGCTCAAGTGGTTAAGACGCTGAACTGCAGACCAGAAGGTCGGTAGTTCAGCAGTTCGAGACCTGAGTGCCGCAAGACAGAATGAGCTCCCGTCTCTGGCCCCAGCTTCTGCCAACCTAGCAGTCCAAAAGCAAGAAATTGCAAGTAGATAAAGAGGTACTGGTTCGGTGGGAAGGGAACAGCGTTCCGTGCGCCTCGGCGTCTAGTCATGTCGGCCACATGACCACGGAAACGTCTTCGGACAGCGCTGGCTCTTCGGCTTGGAAATGGAGATGAGCACCGCATCCCTAGAGCCAGATTCGACTGGCTTTTGAGCAAGGGAAACCTTGACCTTTACCTTATACCATAAATAAATATAGATTTTTGATCATATTTATCTTTAAGTTAGCTTGACCCTTCGAAGAGTGCTGGTATATTTTAGGGTTGAGTTTGTCTTCCCCCCTTTTTTTCTCCTCAGTCTGTCTCTTTAGCCATGCTTGCTAAATAAAAGTGTCTTTTTTTGTTTATTTTAATCGTTCCAGATCTTGAAGCCTGCCGAGAAGAAGAAGCCGAATGCTAGCCGGCCTGTAACGCCACCCAGGGGTATGATCACAAAACAAGCAAAGAAATAATTATCTTGGCACTGCCTAGTTGGGACTTGTATTATAGTATATAATCTCCATTTTTTTAAAAAAAATATGGTAACCTGTATCGGTCAGCTTGCTAAGACTAGATTAAAGTGTTTTGTGTTTTTTGTTTTATTTTTTTCATTTTTGATGGATGGCATTTGCTGGTTGTAACAGCAAATGAGACTTTCTCCCTTTTCAAGAAGAGTTTTAAGAATTCTGTATTCCTTTGGAGAGAGCCCCCACCCCTTCCCATCCACCCCCCCCCCATCCTTGTTGATGTTCCAGCTGTACCCTCTGCAGCGACGTCTCCTGTCATTCCGGGCATTGTACAACCGACTCCTTGAACCTGTACGGACCGGGCGGGGGGCGGGTGATGCCTGCATTACTCTTAGGACCTAAAGAGGCATTAGCGTGCCGCAGAGCTAGGAAACTTGTTACTGTCGAAATACATACTGTTTCTCCAAACCACTGTGAAAGTCTTTAAAACAGTTTTTAAAAAAATAAAATAAAGGGATTGCTTTTTTTCTTGTCATGTACACCAGAGTGACATTGCTGTCAGCGTTTTTTGAAACCCACCTTCGCCAGTCTCACTGGTGTGTGTGTGTGTACATACGTTTTAATCCAGGCACACCTTCCCCTTCCGTATACTTTAAAAAAGAAAGATATTAAAGTCATTATTTTAAAGGTTTGTCCGTCTCTTCATGAAGCCAAAGCATGAAGGGGGGAAACTTGGCGGCCTGGAGCAGGGATGCGTTGGTGGTCTCTAAGTCAGGTTTTTTCCCCTTGCAGATCCAAGGAAGACTTGAACTAGGAAAAAAAAAAAGTAATGTTCTGTATCAACCGGGGGTGCAGGATTAAAGCATTTTGATACACTCCCCATATTCAGTGTTGGAAGCTTGCTACTGTAGCCAGTTCAGAAAACAGGAGAGCCTCTGGAGAGCCCGAGAATTAGAGTACGTTAGGGGTTGTGTGTGTTTTTTCCCTCTTGTGCACCCGAAGACGTTGATCTACACGGCTTACAAAACCACCAGCCGCACTAGTGAGCACACACTGTTCACCTGTTCCTGTGAATCTCACAGAGTTATCCTGGTTTTTAATCTTTTTATTTTTTGAGCAGATGACAGTGTACAAATACCTTGTGGTAAATGCTTATTAAACGAACTTGTCAAACCTTCTTGGTCTCAGTTTTATCAGCACCTCGTCCCCCTGCAGAGGGAGGCGTGTGACCCTTAAAGGGACAGTCACCCCCTCAAGAGGGGGGCCTTCCCCACTTGGATGATTCAAGGGCCAGGGACAAGAGGCCTCTCGTGCCCCCACCGCTTCTAGGGAATGCACCGGGTAATCCCAGCGGTTCTGCGTCTGCAACCGTGGTTCAGCTTACTGAAGGTAGTTCTGATCCAGAGAACCACAAATGCAAGTGTCGGCAGCTGAGTGGGTGTGTGCATGCAACCAGTGTTCCCTCTAAGCTGAGTTAGTGTGAGCTAGCTCACAGTTTTTTAGCCTCTGGCTCACCCATTTTTGTCTTAGCTCAGGAAGGAGGGCTCTGGGGCCAACTAATTTATGCAGCAGCCAAATCGCTCGCTCACAACTTTAAGGCCAGTAGCTCACAAAGGAGAATTTGTGCTCACAAGACTCCACAGCTTGGAGGGAGCTGGCCCGATGTAGCACTGCAGGAGCTTCCGCTTCCATTGAGTGTGCAACCTTTTCTTGACACACACACACACACCCCATTGGAGGGGGAGGGAGGCAACTTGAATTGCCTGATTTGACTGCCTCTTGGCTAACAACCAAGGAGGTCAAGTTGGGGGTGTGGAAGGGATGTGCTGAAGGAGGCAGAGAGGCGCCCAGCCAGCCCCTCATCCTCCCACACGGCTTCTCTTCCCTCCTGGGTCCTTGTTTTCTTCCTGGGCCTGAAATATTGATGAATGCTGAGGAGGTCTCAGCTCACACCTTTCTAAGGTTGCAGTGTGTGCGTGTGCCAGTGCATGCTTGGATGCCCAGGCTCCTCTCATTCATGACCCTGGTGGAGGGTGCCTCAGGGAAAGGGGAGAGGAGGTTATGGGCCTGGGGGAGCAGCCAGGCTGGGAGGGGGGAAAGGCCCTGCTCAGTGGAGCTTGGGGGGGGAGGGGGGACTTCCTGGCCATGGCTCGGCCCCCCACTGTACCTTTCCATCCAAACGCAGCCCCCCCCCCCCCCGGGGTTCTTACCCCCCCGGCGGTCCCGTC